TGAAAGGTGGCAGTGGCATTCTCTGAGAGTGGAACAATGACGGGACTTTTTAGGGGATGGAGAGATGAAGACCAAAAGATGGCTTAGTTAAGAGCAGAAACTCACACAAACAGGCCAGGAGCTAGTAAAAAGAGAAGGCAAATTCCCCAAGGCAGCAGAGCAGTGCCTTTCACTGATCAGGTATGCTTTCTCTACCTGTTGCTAAAATATGTTGAATCTTAATACCATTTGTTCCAACGTGACTTAATCACCGCTCGTCACTGTTCACTGTCAGTGATGAGCGGAAAACAGCTACAGGTTGATCAGGCTGTCAAAGAGAAAAAGTGTCTTGATTTTACCGCCATTGTTTTCTTGTTTTTTAGTACCAGGAGGGTTTTTCTGCAGTGTAAAGGAGGCTCTTAGTGAAATTTCTAGACTCTATTGTGTGACACCTGTCATTGTAAGTAGAGATTAAGTGACCAAGGCAGAGGAAATTACAGACAGGTAAAATATTGGTGCTAAACTTTTAATGAAGTCACTGTTGAACTTCCACATGAGGCAATTGAAAGATGGTTTCTTTTCAGAAGAATCAAAGGAATGCATAGCACGCAGGGATGAGCTCTTGATTCATAAGGAAGACAGCCTGAATAAGTATGACGTGATGTTTGGCATCAAAGCGTACATCTGGAAGTTGTTGTGGAAAGCCTTGGATGTGGAAAGTAGAACACTTCCTTTGGGAACCTAAAAATTTCAGTTATTCTTTCAGGCAGTATTAGTGTTCCTATGGTGCAGCATTCTTATCTCAAAGACTGACTGTTTTTACAGTCCTTTCGCAAGGGTTAAGTTCAGACAGATTTAAAAAAATACTTTGTGCAGATACAAGCTGAAGTGCACTAGGGAGAAGGTATTTGTAGGAGCACGCTGCCTGCAGCCAGTTTCCACTATAGTGGTAGGTGTCACTTAAGCCTCTCAAACTTGCAGCTTTAGAGCATGGCTTTTTATTAGCTTTGTGAAAATACCAGTCAGGATTTGGGTTGTTCGTGTATTCCTGCTGTCTGCACCAGCCAGGGACCAAAGTACAGAGGAACATGTGCAGCATCTGTTTAAAAAGCTTTCTTCTGAAACTTAGCAGGAAAAGCCCTGGGAAGTTGCAGGAGTCTGTCCAACCTGACAGTTCTTACGCATTTAGTGTGAATCTTGCTGTCTCCCATGTGGGAACATGCGTGCTACCGGCTTCCCTGCTGAGCTGTGTTTTTTCTTCTTGTAGGTCTAGGTCTCATGGCAGATCAAAATCTGGCTCGCCGGCTAAGAGGTAAGCATGCAGAGATTGTCTAGAATTCAGAATTGGGTTTGCATGATTAACGGAGCCTGGTCCTTTAGAAAAAAGTCCCCAAACGTGGGTGCCCAGCTGATCTGTTTGCGATATGACTGAGATTATAAAATTTCCCCTGTAGCTATTTGGAATATGTTCCTTACCCATCTCTGTTTTCATTAACTACTTGTAGTTTCTGACATAGCACTGAGGTTTTCGTGTCTTTGCGCTCAGTTCTGTTAAATTTTTCTATCTGTCAGATAACGGGCTCCAGCTTTGCTAATATCGTTGATGAAAAAACAGAAAAAGCAGGAATCTGTGATGGTGTTTTTTCTCAAAGCCTCACCTCAGTACTGCCTGTTGTTTTCCCGTTTTTCTTTACTGAAGACAATTGCTTAAAATTAATCTCCACGCTAAACGAATTGAGAATCCCTGTCAGAGTAAAAGTTGATTTGAAAACTGTAAACTGCTTCTGGCTAGATTCCCGTAATAATTCCATTGCTGTCTAAGATGCTTATTTTTTTTTTTAATATAAAAGTTCCATTTGACCCTTAAGCTGCATTGATGATATTCTGTTTTAACAGTCGGTCAAAGTCCCGATCACCATCTCCAAAGAGAAGGTATGTTGATCTCCCTACTAATAACCTAGACTCCGTAGAGCTGGCATTTTAGTATCTGCAGTGATCTCTGCTGAGGAGTTTGACTGCTGCTTGTAGGAAAATACTGGAAAGGTATTTTGCCAAGATCTCTTCGACAGAAATAACATTGTGATTGTGGTTTTATACACGGTAATATCTATGTGGTAATAATAGCCCAGGATATTGGTTACCTGGCAGTGTTATGTCTTGCCAGAGTCCACGTGGGGATCAGCTTTGGGTCTTGTTAAAAGCTGCAGTGGGATTGGGAGAGAGAGTGGCGCGTCCTGGCATAGCAGTCAGGAGTGGAAGATCGAGCCTGTTATTTTTGCTGCTGTTACTCAGATTATTTCCCCCCCCCGCCCAGTAAGTTGGTAAATATTAGTCTGTGTGTGTGTGTGTACGCATATATGTGAAGTGACAGAATCAGCAGTGGTTTTTTTCCCCAGTTTGAACTCTTTAACAGTTCATTTTTAGAACTTCATTGTTCAGGATTTGCAGGGAGGGGATATATCCTAGTAAGAATAGCTGTGGACCTGCCAGGATGTGACCCTTGCCTTGGTGATCTTTCTGCCCTGCAAGTTCTGTCTTTTCTTTCTTACATACTTATAGAACTTCTACATGGGGGTTTGCTTCGTTTAAAAATGTGGCTGTGTGTAACCTAACCTCACAAGCAGTCACAGTGCTCACAAATGCTGAGTGTTTGCCAGAATAGGTTTTGGTAAATTGCTCTATCAGAACAGTGAAGAAGTACGCTGCTTCCATGAAGTTTGCTATTAGCAGTTCCCTTTACATGACTTTACAATGATGACATTTAAATTGCGTTCTAAAAAGTAGAGAAATGCAAAAACATGAAAGTAAAAGAAAGGCGATAAATGTATTATCTCTAAATCATCAACCCATTAACTTTGTCGATAGCGATTGGTTATTTTATTAAAAACTGCTGCTTCAAGGGTGCTGGAGTTGTCTAGGTACCCTCCGATTGCTTTTTCCTGTGTTTGGGAATCCCTAACGACTACTGAAATGTTAACTCTGCATTCTTTTCCTTTCAGTCGTTCACCATCAGGAAGCCCTCAAAGAAGTGCAAGTCCTGAAAGAATGGATTAAAGTTCTGAAGTTAATCTTTTAGGAAGAAAGTTATTTTGCTTACATTATTATAAGGGATTTTGTGGTGTCTTTGTAAATGTAAGAATGTAGATAGAAGAGTAATCAACTAAAATTTGGCATGATCTGGGTCTTCTGAGTTAGTCACGCCAATAGACTAGCACAGGTCTCTTTTTATTGTATGAATTAACTTCCTGTGATATGAAAATGTGGGACTTTTTTATTGGCACATTGGAATAAAATGTGTATTTTTAACTAAAACTTCTTGGTAGTAACCCTGCTGCTTCTGTTAACGTTTGGGTAATTTTAGCGTGCTATGTAATGTGGATGAAAAATGTCTGAAATGGGAACGACTAAATACCGGTGTCTTCTCAAACGAGTCACTTCTCACATTTATTCTTGAATGGTCTTTGGTGAAAGGATCAGTTTCCACTTTCTTTGAAATGGAATTTAAAATCTGTCTCTGGCTGCGAATGGCTAAAAATTTGCAAATGCCCTTTTTATTCCTTTTTTCCTATTTAGTGGGCATTTGTTTTTCTCCCTGATCTAAGGATTCTGCAAAGCTGACTCTCCGGTGCTTGACTAGTTGTGATCCCAAACGCCCAAAAATTTAAGGACGAGCTTTTATTCAAAACACCCACATCTTTTCAACGAATCTGCAGAAACCTCTAACCATGATAGAAATTGTTAGTAACTTGACAATCGCTGCTTTCTCTTGGTGCGATTTTTAGTTCTTCAGGTTATTAGTGTGAAGAAAATGTCTTAAAACATCCTAAGGTATGTTTCGCTTTTTTGAGGGAAGGCGTAAGGTCTTCTGACCTGCTTTCTGAAGGACCTTGGGACAGTGAGCGGTGGAAGAAAGCTGTTAGTAGCCCAGCTGACCTCAGGAATTCACAGAAATTGGTAGCGTTTTGCTGCACGAAGCTAATTTCTTACAGTAAATCCACACCTGTAGGGTTCGTTATTTGTGCGTAGGTACAGTCCCGATTCTGACCGCCCTGTTGTGCTGCTGCATCGCCTTGGCCTCTCGGCCCGCTCCTGGCTGCCGGGGCGCTTGGCATCTGCCTGTGTGCTCCCGTGGGGGATTCGTCTTTTCATCTGCCGGCTGCGATGATCGATATTCGGGTGATACCCGTTAAATTCCACCACCCACCGCAGTGGGAGGGCAGCAGTGAGGGGTGGGTGTGCGACGCGGATGTTGCCCAGCAGAAAAACCCAAAGCCTGTGGCTTGTGTTTGGAATATTTACTGGTTTTGCAAGCCTGTGGCTTGTGTTCGGAATATTTACTGGTTTTGCATTGCCTGCCCAGTTCACAGCGTACCTGGCGAGAGGCACAGGGAATGCTGCTGCTCTGGAATTTGATTTTTGATTTTTCTCTTCTGTACTTTTAAGGCAAACCTGCTCCACAATAAACCTGCAGCCAAACATGACAGCTGTCCTGGTTACCTGTTTTTCAGTACCCAGAGATGCTGGAAGGCTGAGGAGGGGAACCTGGGTAGGATTTCACAAAAAATTCCATGCGGTGTTGGTGAGGTCTTGGAAAAGATGCTCAGACTTGAGTGGGGGGTGGTGGTGGTGCATGTTACAGGGTTTGGGGGATGATACACCACAACTTTATCCACCTTTCCACATGCTCCATGTGACCATTACCAGATATTCCCCTGCTGGAGTCTGAGCTGTGATATGCCAATGTCCCTAAACAAGGTTTTTTCAGTGCATTTTTTACTGTGAAACAAAACCTAATGAACAGAGGGTGAGAGCTTTGCACGGCCCAGAGAGCGGCAGAGGTGGCGACAGGAGTCTAAGCCAGCAGAAACCGTAGGTGAAAAGCACAGAGGATGAAAAAATTAAGTTCCCAGATGAGATCCATGGACCAGTTTGAAAGCGCTGTCTGGCACCTGGTGGGCTTTCTGGCCAACCTGCCAGAGGTACTTACCCCTCTCGGTGGCAGGAGTCGACGTCCCATTTCTTCAAGCGGCGTTGAACAGGAGCCACGTGGTGTGGTTGTATTCCTCACCCGGCCGGAGCAGGACGCTGGGGAAGTGGGGCTGGGGAGAGGCGGGCAGCACGTCAGCCATCGTGACCACGCACTGTGGGACCCCTCTGCCTTCCGGGGGCATGTCCTGTGGCTCCCCCCAGCACTTCCAGCGACTGGGCTGAGTCCTCCCTGTGGTTGCATTCATGCCCAGTGGGAAGGACGTGGCAGGGTCCCCAGTGGGGGTCTTGTTCTCTAGACCCCCATGCCCTTGGGAAGCTGGGCTGCGTGGGGACCAATCCCCACTGCACTGGCCAACCCCCCGTCTAGCGCTGCAGGATGCCGTGACCTGTGCCTGCCTCCCTTCTGGTGTCTACAAAGCATCCCCTCGCCAAAGAGACTCCGTTCATTGGGGGCGGGGGGTGGTACCGAGTGGTGGCTCCCGGAGGGGGAATGGTTCACCTTGTTGACAGCGTCGGGCCAGTTCTGGGTTTCCAGGCAGAAAGCTGAATGCTTGGGGTACACCATGGCACCTTTGCCCTTCAGGGAGCCATCCAGGTTGTTCCCGGTGTAAAACTGGATGCCGGGCTGGGTGGTGTGAACCTCCATGGTCCTGCCGCTGGGGGGGGGGTGAGCCCTGGGGAGATGCCGGTGGAGGATACCAAGGGGTTGGCCCAACGGGCGCCCCGTGGCATCAGGGGTGGGGGAATCCCTGCCTGGGTCCCCGGACCTACCTGGCAGCGAGGCGTCGTGCCTGCGCTTGCTGCAGGCAGAAGTTGTGGTCGAAGCCATCCAAGTGAAACTTCTGTAAGTGCTTGCCCAGCTCCACAGGCTGCCGGAAATCAAAGCCTGTGCCCTGCACGGTGGCCACCTCCCCTGGGCAAGGAGAACAGCCGTGTCAGCCGCTCACACCCTGTGCCAGCAAACACCGGCGGGGCTGAGATCCTGGCTTTGGTGAGCTGAGGGTTTTTAAGCCATTTGCGACCGTCGTCTCCTCGCGGTGACCTGCTTTGAGCAAGCTTGCCTTGCGGTTGCTGGGACATCACCGCTTGGTCCCCCCTAGTGGAGCTGGCAGCCCCCACCTCCCCCTGGGACACCGCTGTGCTGTGCCAGGGACAAAGCAAAGCCAAGGAGCCATTTGCTCTCAAGCCTTTGTTTTTAAGGCCTGACGTGGGGACGTGGCATCCTGTGATGCAGCGAGAACACCCCCAACATACTAAACGCGGTGCGGAATAGCCATACCGCCCCAAAGGCAAGGTGAGAGAGGAAGGGCGGGGATTTTTCCCTCAAGTCCTGTTTTTCTACCCCTCTCTAAAGGGCGGGAGAGGTTTCCCAGGGCCAGCCAGTTCGGCTGCAGGTCTGCACCCATCCTGCTCTGCAGACCTCGAGAAACGCCAATCCCCACCTGACAAACAACATGTTTCTGTGGCTTCTGATTCTATCTAAAAGGAACTGAATTTGGCTGTGGGGTAGAAAAACACCTTGGGGGAAAAAGAAAAAAAAAAAGCAATTTTGATTTAGGCACTCAAGTAAAACACAGCAGCCCCTGCACACACGGGCTTTGTGTTTAATAGTTGCACAAATCTCATCTTTACGAGCTGCCTGCACCGGGAGACCCGCTCCTCCAGCTGCAAGCTGACGCGTGCGCGTGCACAGCGGTTCTGGTTTGTGAATGCAGCTGTATCTCTGGTTTGAGCAGACACCTGAGCTAAAAATCTTTCTTGCTTGCTTTTTTTTGTTTGGTTGGGTTTTTTGTTTTGTTTAGGGTTTTTTTTGTTTTGTTTTGTTTTCTTTTTAAAGCCTCTCTGCCTCTCCCTCCTGAAGTCAGAAGGTGCACTCAGCAAAGCAGCCCTGTGAGAGTCTTCGCTCGGGAGCACAGCTTCTCCGTGATGAGTCTGGAGACAGCAGCAATACCACCTTTGTTTAATTAACCTGCTTAGCATGCAAAACACGCTGGTCCCCTTAACTGGCTTTCCTCTTTTCGCTACCCGGGACGTTAAAGATGGGAAAGCAGAGCATTGGGTTTGTGTCGTCAGCCTCCCAGCCAGCGGCGCCAGCTCTCCCGTCCCGACGAGGGGTCTGACGGCTCAGCCCTCGCAGGGAAGGAGGATGCTGCTGCGCTCCTGAGCACCAGAGATGCCAGCAGTTCCGGAGCTCAGCGCTGGGCCTGGGAGCTGCCCTCCAGCTGAGGGAGTCTGAACATCTCCTGGTGTGCCATTGTGTTGATCGACAGTGCCCGGAGCACGCTGCTTGCATCTCCCATCTCCCATGTTTTACTGAGGCTTAAGAGATGAATTCTCCTGCTTTAAGTGGACTTTGAGCATGGGCTGATCTTATGGAAATAAGATCTGTGGAAGTAAGACCTTGACCTCAGGTGGAAAATCCCAGCAGAGAAGTGTGATAAAGCCAAGTGCTGCTGGAGGAAGCAAAGCAGGTGAACCCCCAAGGCCAATCCCAGCTCTCAAAGTGCTGAGGGACCCTCTCTGGTGGCCCCGCTGGGAACGATGGCCTGCAGGGAAATGCTGGCCAAACAGGTCTGAAGGGAGATGCTTTGGTCTGTGTCATAGGCAGATTGTCTCCTGGATGGACCCCTTGGACCCATGTTGCAGTCTCGTGTCCCCCCTTGCCTCCGGCCCCATTTCCCACTACTCCTGCCTGCACCCACCCCCGGACTGACCCTGGTCCACTCCCTTCTCCAGGGCTGGGGCTGGTGATGGACCCTCTTTCCAGCACCTGACTGTGCCCATGGATGGGGACCCTGCCGTGTGCCCCAATACCCACAGACGCTCATCTGTGAAACCGCCTCCACCACGTGCCGCAGGCGTCGCACCACCCACCAGTAGGGATCTTGGTGTCGTCCACGGGCAGGTAGGAATCTGCTTCAATCGAAATCTCATGGTCATAGATATCCCGTGAGCCCTGCCAGGAGGATGGGAAATATTGGGATTCCTGAAGCTGCAGCCCTTCCACCATCTGAGCAGTCCTCGGCACACTCAAGAAGTGACTGCCTACGGTGGTGCCCGAGGGACCTCCTGGCCATCATCCCACCTTGACCCTGGACACAGGACAACAGTACCAGCACAGGCAAAAAGCTGCGTGGGACCTTGGAGCCGTAAATCCTGCAGGGCTGAGATTATCAGTCTGAACTACCACCCTGCAGATTGACTAGCCAAAACACGCAGGCTGCTGAGCACACAGCGGTGGGCAAAAGGGGAAGGAAGCAAGCGTGGGGCAGCGCAACCCATCCTCCCGGTTCATCTCGCACGGGGCGGGGAGGTTGGGCTCCTCTTCCTCTCCTGCCGTCTCGGGGATGCTGGCAGGGAACCTGCTAGGCTGGAAGGAGAGCAGGATCAAAGCTGAGCCTGCACGTCACTGCCCAGTCTGAGCATCAATTTCATGCCCGAAGGTCTTCCTGTTCCTCTTGGAAACGCACCTGAGCTGCATGCCTTAGGTGTTGGTATTACTGTACCGCTGGGAGGACAAATGGAGGGCAAACTAGTAACTGCACAGCCATTATTATGGTTGTAATAATTGTAAAAATAATTGTAAAAACAATTGTAAACATAATTAGCCTGAGCAGACCTCCTGCACGGAGGGGCTGGGATGTCTCTCGCTAACGCTTTTACAGGTCACTAGGGCATGCCAGTTCCTCCTGTCATCTTCCCGAGGGACCAGGAGAGACTGAAACTCCCCAGTTACACACAAACGGAGAGTTAATATTCATGATGGGACGTGCTGGAATAACACGTCCTCAGGTGAGGTCTATGTGATTCAGTCCTGTCCCAGCCCACGTTGCATAAATATAACGCCCATCGCTGTGTCCTCAGAAGCATGCTGTGTCCCCAAACCAGCATGTTGGTCCCAATGATCCCATGCGAAGCCCACAAACCATCCCATGGGTCCCCAGGCTTTCTTCCCCTCCACAGGGTTCATCTCCCCATGCTTACCTGCCCTGCGAGGTTGAAGTACGCATGGTTTGTCAAGTTTATGGGTGTTGTCTTGCTGGTCTGGGCTCGATAGTTGATGGCCAGCTCCCCACCACTGAGCGTGTAGGTCACCCAGACTTTCAGGTCACCAGGGTAGCCTTCCTCACCGTCCGGGCTGAGCCGGAAGAAGCAGACGCCATTTGGGAGAACCTGGGGGCTCCAGAGAACCTGCAAGGAGCGTGCTGTTGGTGGGACAGTCATGGGAAACCCTTCTATCCTGCCCCAGGCTGGGCTGAACCCAGGGACAAAAGGTACTGAAGGAATGATGCTCTGAAACAAAGTTTTTTTCAATTATCTTTCCTGCTCTTGCTTCTAGAAGGAAAAAAACAAACAAACAAACAAAAAAGCCCAAACAATCTTTTTCTGCCTCTGAAGGACTAAAAAACAGTATCGCCTTGTTGAAAAAGAAAAAGGGAAGTGGAAGAAAACACAAGCACCAGCCTGTTTGTGGTCAGCCAGGGCCGGCGACGGGCAACAAGTTTTCCAATGAGCAGCTGACCAGAGGAGGCAGTTTGCTCTGATGGAGGTCTGTCCCAGCCTGTGTTACTCCGTGCCTAAGAGCGTCCATGCATTTGATTTTTGCCCTGAAGCAGGACTTATTTCCCTCTCCCACGGATCTCCTGGTGCGCAACATCGCTTCGACAAGCTGCCACCCTTCCCTCAGCTAACCCCTGGTTGGGTTCAATAGTACCAGGCGTAGTGCCAGATACATCCGCCTGTCAGCGCTGACCCAGAGAACCGGGACCTCTCCCTTTCTTGACCCCGCTAGAGACTAGAGCGCTGCTTGGAGCCCAACCTGCCGGCCAGAGAAGCAAGCCAGCCCACCATAAATGTAGCTGCCCAGACAGCCTGTTTGCCCCTGGCTGTGGACCTGATGCTAAGCAGATGTCTCAGCCCCTTGCAGGATGGATGTGTGACAAGAGGCGAGGCACCCAGTCTCTGGAGCTTAGCATCTACCTAAGGGATGGTTAATGTCTAACCAAATGTCTAACCAAAGAGGACAGGTCTGGGGCCAGGGCCCAGATAACGCTTTTGAGATGAGCCCTTTTGTGCAAAGACCGCAAACTCGGAGCACTTGTCAAAAGCCATCATCTTCACCAAACACAGGAACGGAGGGTGCCAAATGTGATAACTGGACTGCAGCTCCCACTGCTGTGAGACGCTGCGGTTTTATATGTGAGCTGCTATTTAAGTTCTTCCGAGAAAAAGCTATTAAAGGCCAGTAAGCATACAGCTATCACTACGTTTTAAAGCTAAGAGGTTTATTTTCTAAAGTCCCCTCAAGTCTCCCAGCAGTGTGGGCAGATATTGCTGCCATGTAAGTGTGGCTGCAAGCTTCCTTGTCACCAGGCCACACGCTGACCACAGCACCGAGGTCTGCAGGACCAGGGGAAACCACCAAGATGGCCAAGACAGTCACAGGCAAGAGCCAGCATGTCCTGTTTTCGTTAGGGCTGCCCACAGGTCTCTGCACAGTGATGGTCACCTGGCTGGAGGGGGTCTTGAGCAGCTGCCCGAGCGTGCCCCGTGGGCCAGAGGACACAAAGCCCTCTCTGGGAGGTGTTGCTGCCTCGTGCATACCACGTTGGCGTGCCTTCAGCAAGCAAGAGGATGAGGCAGGAGAAGAGGCCACCTCCTCTGTCTGCAGAAGACAGCCTGGAAGCCTCGGTTGCGAAGGAGCACATGTTTTCAGCTCCGGCTTCCAGGGGGTCAGGGCATATAAAGAAACTTTAAACCAAATTGTCCTCTTTGGGGCCAAGCCACCCCAGTACTGCCTTTTTTTCTCAGGCTGCTGCGGAGCGTTGGATCCCGGTCTCGTGCCAGTTCGCACTGTGCTGCCCAGAAGTGAGCTTTTTTTTCCAGCCACTGTGACTTTTGCCCCATCGGCCTCGATGTCCTTTCACAAAACAAGACATGAACGCGGGAAAGCAGCTGCACCAGCACATTCCCATGCACTCCTCTGTGGAAAAGGTGGATGAGCTACTTGCTGGTTACAAAGGCGTTCAATCCGACAAAGCCCAAGGCTTCAGGAAAGCAGAGACTGCATGGATTACGGCTCCCCAGGAAACTTGCTTTGGGCATGGGGACTTTTGGGCATGGGAGGTGCGGCTGGCGCCTGGGGAGCCTCCATCATGCGTGAGGTCAGGTCCTCACTGCCACGTCCCAACCCGGGCTCCTGCAAGAGCAGCACCTCGCCCCAGGACAAGCCCACCAGAGCTGGGCTCACGAGGCCTCGGGGCTGTGGTAACACAGGAAGCACAGCAACCCTCTGCATGGCATCCAAGGAGGACACCAGTGAGCACCGCTAAGCCACCCGGGCAAAGACAACCTGACCCAGCAGCTCACAGGGTCTCACTTCACCCCATTCCTGCACTCACAGCACTTCCCAGGTGCTGATTCAACTCAATAACCCACAGAAAACCTTACAGATCGGGGAGTGAAGGCATCATACCCTCTTGCCACAACCCTACAGGCTGTGTGTCCCAGGACAGAGGGAGCCGCCAGCCTGATTTTCACCTTGTCAAATCCCCGGGCTCCTCCGTGCAGGCTGTTGGGCCCGTTGTTGAGGAACAGTTGATATTCCTTCCCATCCACGGTGAACCTCCCCTTCGCAATCCTGTTGGCAACGCGTCCCACGACGGCACCGAAGAAGGGGTGCTTCCTCGTGTAACCTGGCCGGAAAAGCAGCGCGTGGTTAAATGGAAGGATTGGGATGCGACGGGATGTCTCCAGGTGTGCTTTACAGACTCGGAGGTGTCTCTCTCTGCTTCCCCCCAGTACTACATAGGTGACTGCAGTCCCGGTGGACACCCAGCTCACTTAGTCATGTGCATCTTTGATTAAAACAGCCCGATGGGATCTTGTATTCTTTGCAGATTTGCAGAAAAGGCCTCTGTCACTGCCGGTCAAAGCACGCCACAAAGCTGCCCCCTTAGAGGGGCACACTGCCACCAGTGTCCCCCTTCTCCCCAGAGCCCAGGACAGGCAGCAAGAGTGGTATTTATTCAGTCCGTGATTTGGAGGGGAATCCTTAGAAGCAGATCACGCAGTGTGGCAATAAACCAGAAATCACTGGTTAAATTGCCTGATTTTTTTTTATTATTATTATTATTATTTTTAAAGAAAGAAACAGATTTAGACCCACCTTCCAAAGTATCAAAGCCCAGGACAACATCTGAAAACTCCCCGTCCCTGCCTTTTGTCTCCAGAGCGGCGATTATGCACCCTAAGGACAGGATCTCCACTTTCACGCTGTCCGACTTCAAGATGAATTTTTCCACCACTCCTCCTCCTTCCTCCCGGGGCATCTGCCCCAACACCTCTCTCTTCACTTCTGTCATCGCTGCCCAAAACCGCAGCCCCCCTGGCACCGCGTGGCAGGAGTTGCGGCCCTGCAGGGGAAGGACGCTGAGGAGGGAGCAACGGTGGCAGGGAGCAGAGCAAACACAGTTCCAGCGAACAATCATAAAAATCACATGATGGCTTGCCGGCGCTGGGAGGAGTTATGCCCCTGCATCTCCCCGCCACCGCCGCTCGGCGAGCCGGCACGCCATGACGCAGCCGTGGAGGGACGGGGTGGAGCATGGAGAGGTGCCGAGGGCTTTTCCCCACCAAAACGGCCGCGGCCCTCTGGGTCTGGCGAACTGGAGGCGGTGGAGGAGAGAGGGAAGGATGCCGAAAAAAGAGGGAGGAAGGATGCCCAAAAAAGAGGGAGGAAGGCTGTGCGTGCTCCGGCTTGTGCAGCCAGGGCTGGGCAGCACGGCTGCCAGCCAGCACCTTTGAGGCTTTTGGAGGACAGAGCATCCCCACCACCAGCTCTTTCTCCCCCACGCTGCTATGGCTTGCGGGGCCCTTGCAAAATACAACATGAAAAAATGCTGTTTTCTCCATTTTCTTCCCCCCCCGCCCCCAAGAGGCACAAGGCAGGTATAGCGCCTGCTGCCAGAGCTGTAGATGGGGCTCAGGGTGTTTGCTGGCCAGGTGTTATTCTCAAAGTCACGTTTTTGTGGCCCTGACCAGGACTCCATTAAAAATCATCATCTTTTGAAATACTCACTTCTCCCATCTGCCTCGGGTCTTTCTGCAGGCAGTTTTGGTCTGCGGAAAGACCCTAGTGATGTCTAGGTAATGTGTATGCACATTCTTGATGTCTCCTGGCAAGGCTCAAGCGCAAGGCAGAAGAACTTCACCATGGTTTGACATATTTAGGAGGGCCCATGTTCAGAATTTGTCCAAAGAACACATAATTCCAATAAGCGCTGCCCAAAAAACCTCCAGCAGTCAATCAGGGATTGCTGAATGTTAATATCCAAGCCAGCAATTGCCTTCAGTCAAGACACACTACGGATTCCAAGCTGACATAGAAAGGAAACCTCCCACTGGGGGCTGAGCAGGGGTAGGTTTGAAACCTGTGCTCCTTTGGTAAAGATGGCCTCAGGTTTGCGGTGCAAGAGGAGCCGCGGGACCTGTGTTTCCTTCTGCACCTTCCCAACTGGGTGAAGACAACATGGCAAGTGCGCATGGCTTTCACTACTCGTCAGTACCACCTCCCATATGAAAGGGGCTGGGGAGCAGCACAACCTTTGTTAGGAGCGAGGAAGGCTCCTGGCAGGTGGAAGAGGGCAGTGGCATTTATAACCCACTCATGAAGTGTTTTCACATGCGAAGCTTTCCCAGAAGCTCGTTCCTTTACACCTTGGCTCCCTCAACACCTCTCTCTCAATCCCAGACATAGGAAGCGTTTCTGCTTCGCAAAGACAGGTTTTCACAGAATTCCAGAATCCCAGAACGGTCAAGGTTGGAAGGGACCTCTGGAGACCACTGGAGATCATCTAGTCCAGCCCCCCTGCCAGAGTAGGGGCACCTCCAGCAGTTGCACAGGACGGCAAACCGGCGGGTTTGGAGTGGCTCCAGAGTGGGAGACTCCCCCACCTCTCTGGGCAGCCTGTGCCACTGCTCTGCCACCCTCAAAGTAAAGAAGTTCCTCCTCATCATGTTAAGAT